CCGGTTTAATAAGACTCTCCATCTTCTTATGATCAAACAATGGCTTCTGCATCTCTTTGCGTGGTTGTGGAGTTTGATGGACGATATCTAGCGGTGGATAATTCGAATTTGTTGTGTGGTTAGCTGATTCTTTGTGGCCCAAGGACGAGACATGGTGACTTGACTGCACAAGAACCAGAAAAAAAAAAAAAAAAGGAAAAAAAAGATCTCAAACTACAAGTAGATCATATATACAAACTTCAATAGACTCGTATACAGAGCATACCTCTGAGGAGTCAACCAGTTTCTTTCCAGGCTTGGTTAACATGGCCAGCGAGAAAGCACGGCGAGTCTCCCAGATCAAAGAAACCTGTTTATTAAATGCAGAAAGATTGAGAAGCCTTTTGGTTAGAAAGAAAGGGTCAATAATGTGTACTTTTGAGTTCCTTAACATCCAGATTGGGACATTACTTGTTGTCACGAATGTTATAGCCCTTGTGACTATGAATTGGTCTGCACGTCGAGGAAGCGTACGTATATTCTTTTTATTTTCTTATTGTATTTTTTTTTCCAGTTAAAAACAACAAAAATGGAGCAGAAAGATTGCAGCAGTTTTACCTTCCATGTCTGAAAATTTCGGAAGCCATAGGATTTGAAGCAATTTTTACAAAGAAAAACAAAAATCGTTCTATATCTGCTTCGTTTTCAGATTTATTATCGTGTGTGTATTTCTTTTTATTTCTGTTCAAATTTTGTTTTGGATTTTGGATGAAGAGAAGAGTTGTCTATCTAGAAGGAATAGAGAAAGAAGGTGGAAATTAGGGGGAAAAAAAGAAAGTGATTAATTAAGAAAAGAGAGGAAAAGAAACGGATGGAGAAAAAGTATCTTATGAGTTCCAAAGAAAGTGGAGAAGGTGGAGGGATGAAATGGTCTTGAGAATTTCCAAGACAAAGGAAATTGTGATGTCCCCTTCATTTTCTCCAACCAAGAAACTTCATTCATTTCTCTCTTCTTTTTTTTTTGTTTTTTTTTTTTTGTTTTCTTACCAATCAGTATACACTTACAAAATCATATCACATTGTTTTATATGTCAATGCTTCAGTGCAATATATATAAATTCCTAGCTTGGATTATCATTTGAGTAAACATTATATAACACAAACATGATTAATTACCCCTAACTAGTAAGTAATCTTTAGAAAGCTCTTATCTGTATTTGTTTTCAAAAGCAATAATTTAGTTTTTGATTGTCAAGGAATCCACCGCTTCTCAATCAGATTATATTTTTCTAGAGTGTTTAACATTTTATTAGATGAAAGATTATTAATTCAATGATTAAGTACAATAGTTGAGAGAAGTAAATAAATACCCACGAGGGAATATAGTATTTTTTTTTTATGGAAAAATTAGGCCCAGCACTTAGCCTACGTTATATTATTGGGCCTGCTTCCGCATAATTTAATAAGTATTATTCTCCGGTCATCAATCATCATCATCACGCGAGTATCAGTCCAGAGAAAGTTGCAGTTTCCGGCGATGAATCCGATACAAGCGCCGCCGCTGCACCCTTTCGTTGCGCCGCTGTCGTATCTCTTGGGGACTTGGAGGGGACAAGGCGAAGGTTTATATCCAACCATACCTTCCTTCCGCTACGGCGAAGAGCTCCGTTTCTCACATTCCGGCAAGGTAAGCGATCAGATCGCGTTTTGACTTTTCCTTGATCGAGATCCAAGCTAATTGAGCTCTGAGAGAGAGAGAGAGAGAGAGAGAGAGAGAGAGTCGAATTTGCTTAGCGTCCTTGTTCGAACCTGTTGTTTGTGTAGCCCGTGATAGCGTATACGCAGAAGACATGGAAGTTGGAATCAGGAGCTCCCATGCACGCGGAGAGTGGCTACTTTCGTCCAAAGCCAGATGGTTCCATCGAAGTCGTCATAGCTCAGAGCACAGGTCTCGTCGAAGTCCAGGTAAATACCCAATTTGCCCCCCTTCTTACAAATTCCTGTAACCCACATACTCATTTATAACTGATGTTGTCTCTGATTCTGATCTCAGAAAGGAACATACAATGTAGATGAGCAATCTATCACACTCAAGAGTGATCTTGTGGGAAACGCATCCAAGGTTCAAAAAATGATTCATTTCATAGTTACTAAACGCAACTTTTTATTTTTATTTTACTGAATGAGATTTTGCTCAAATCCAGGTGAAGGAGATAAGTAGAGAATTTGGATTGGTCGATGGAAAGCTATCGTATGTGGTTCATATGAGTACAACCACGAACCATCTCCAACCACATCTCAAAGCCACCCTCGATAAGCTTTGAATCCAGTTCCTGTACTCACTGATACCGCACCCATGTAATGCTTCACTGTTTGATTACTCTTTGTAAGAAGATTTGGGGAGTTAAATGGGCTTTTCTTTTCAAACAGTAAAGAGGCCTCAATAGTTTAGTTCACTACAATATACATTCACATTCAATAAATTACAGGATTGTCAAAATATTTGTTCTCTTTTTATAATATTTGCATACGAATGTTAGAAATAAAAAATGATGAACACCCAAGTTTGTTGTTCTACATTATTATCGATGCAAAAGTCAACAAATTAGAAGAACTAAGATTAGTTCATTACAATCATTATACCATTAGATGCAATCTTATAAACTTATTATTAATACATAGGTTATCACATACAACAACAGAAATTTAATAACATAAAAAGAAAATCTAAAAAAGAAAGAAAAATCAGATATATATATATATATGTACTTAGTAGATGTGAAGCAGACACGTTCAGGCCACGGCAATGAGAAAACGTGGCAGCTTGTAATTCTCTTACGCTCCACAAATTTAAGATTATTGAATTAAATAGTTTCTTATGGTTTTGTTTTTCTTTCTTCTTTGAATAAATTTGGCTTATTCTTATGTGGTGGTGTTGACATATACACATACACATACTTGATCCCGAAGCAATATCTACTTTGGATATATAATAGTAGTAATGGAGAAGAGAAGAAACAAACAAAAAAAAAAAAAGTTATGTAAGGTGATGCTAAATTTATTAGTCCCAATCTAATAGAGAGAGAGAGAGATTGCAATATACTTTGTGTTCGTTCATAAAACTTATGGACCAGATTTGTATGATGAGTTATTTAGATCTGGATTTTGTTTGGTGTGGGGAGCATAGAAGAAATATACATTTAGAGATGTAAATGTGTATACAAATGAATGGGCCACTTACCACCTCTAATGATACAAATTGTTTTTTTTTCCAAAAGAAAGAAAAAAAACTCTCAGATTGCAATAATGGAAGCATATCAAATATCATCAATTAGTATGAGATCTCAATCTCCAATCTTTTATACAATAATTTAACAAACTGTAGTAGCGTATAGGAATTGTTCATCTCTTTTCTCCTCAAAGAATATATCTAATTTTGTTTTACACATTAAGCAATTGATTATATTTGTTTACATATATGGTTGAGAAAACTTTTATGTATACATATATTGTTGAGAAAACTTTTTAAAAAGTAGCTTGTAAAAAGTTTAAAACTCATCGATTAATAAAAGAAAAATAGCTCTCTCTTTTTTTTCTTTGTATGTTTTATTCTTATACTGTATGATTTTTGTGGTGTTGATCGGACTCAAGTATACATACGTGGAGAGAGACAGCGTCAAATATATTTTTTTTCAACTGTTTCCAATAATAATATTCTATGCTTTTATTTGTGTATGTCCGACCATGAGAACCGGTCCTACCTTTTATTATTTTTAACATAGAATATTAAAATTCATATAGAAATATATATTAGAATAAAAATTGAGTTAGTTAATGCTAAATAAAGATTCTTTCTTTTATTCAAATTTTAATTACTTTTCTGGAAGAAGCACTTTGAAGAGATGAGAGTTATGTAAGAATAGATTCTCCATATGGAAAAGTTGGCAAGATGTTTTTTTTTTTTTTTTTTTTGCATTTGTCTCTTAATCCAACGGTCACTCTTCGTTCATGACAAGAATCCTTGACGTGGACCATTCTCTACCCTCCATCTGCACTTCTTCTCAACCTCTTTTTTATTTATTTCTATTATATATATTTGCAACTAAAATCCATAAAAAACAAGAAGGAAGGATTGCAAAAGAGAGAAACAAAAAGGTGGAAAAATAAAATAAAAAACTCTCTGTTCTTCTTTCTTCTTTCTTCTTCTTCTTTTTTTTTTTTGCTAAACTCTTCTTCTTCTTCTTCGTAAGCCATTTACCATTTCTTCTCTCTCTCTCTGTTTTTCTCTGTTCCGTATCTGTACTTTTGTTTACAAAACATTAAAATTAAATATATGCTTTTGCTGATGCCTTCTCCTTGGTAAAAAGATTTCTACAGCTTTTTTTCTTTCTTCTTCTGTGTTTTGATTTTTTCATCTTTTTTATTTCTTCTTCTTCTTCTTCTTTGATGACTTCTGATGTTCCAAAATATCCTCGTAAATGTACTCTCTCTCTTTCCCACGCCCACACGTGTCTAGTTTAGCCTATCTTCTTCTTACAACTCTTTTATTTAACTTTTGCGTTTGACCTTTATCTGAACCCTCTATGAAAGTGTGTGTGTATATAAGTGTATAGTGCTCTGTTTCTTGTGATTAGACTCATATGTCTTATCTTCAGTAATATTTATAAGAACATGTATGTTTTTTTTTTTTTTTTTTTTTTTTTTACATGTATGTTTACGCCTAGTTGTTAGTTTTTATCGGTACGACTAAATATTCAGACATCAGTTCACGTTTCAAACCTGTCTCTTCACATCGATAAGAAAATAAAAAAAGGCATTAATAGACTTTCTTATGTTTCTGTCTACTCTACTCATACATATTTCTTTCTTGTGTATTGATTGGTTTCTCCCTTCATTTCTTCTTATTTTGTTTTTTAGGTTTCAGATATGGTGAAGAATCTTAGAGTGGATCCTCTTGCTAAGGTCTCTGCTTCCACCACTTCCATGGTACGTAAATTCATTCAGATTCTCTTTCTTCTCTCTTAATTTTATTTATATATGAATTGATTTTGTTTTGGTGGTCTTAAGGATGATTTAACAATATGTCTCTACTTTTTGTGTTTCAACGCTAAAAAGGTTTCTGCAAAAGAGAAAAGGAATCAATCGGAGCCATATTATGAAACTCTTGAGACATATCAAGGCCTGCCTTGTCCTTATGGTGGCTACTATGGATTCTACTATCCAGGTTAATTTTGCTTCTTTCTTTTACGCACCTATCCCTCTTAATATGAATGTTCATGATTCTCAATTACTGTACTTGTGTTTTTACTTCAGGTCTTGATGGTTCAGTTGGAGAAGCAAAGGATAACGGATACTACGGTTATGGAACAGATGTTCAGTACCCGGTAATCAAAACTTCCTCGTCTCGAGAGAAATTACTCAGATAAGTCGTTGACCATTTTTGATATTGACCAGTTTCTTGATCTTGATTTCTAAAGGTTATGCAAGGGGAAAATGGATCTTTGATCTACATGATGCCAGGGTTTCAATCTTATGATGCTAGCCAAACTTATATGCCTATAAGTCCTGTTGGTGTATCGAGTCAGGCGCTTCATTCGCCCATGTATGCAGCTCAGGGTTATTATCAGAACCAGTTTGGTTATGGAGATGTTTCATCCCCCACCTATCTATGGGACCCTGTTGGTGACAAGTATGTGTATGGCGTTGCTTCAAATACCCACCAACCCTTGAAACAGAACATATCTTCTTCAAGTCATAACCATAACAATTATTACTCAAGGAGCAAGAACCCCTTCCCCGGTCACACCATGGGAGATCGTCCCAAAACACCGCGAAAAGTAACCTTCCTCCTCTTTAATTCTTCTCTCTTTCACATTCCCGAGAATATTTTACTGATCCTTTTCCTTTGGTGTTATATAGGCGTTACAGAACAGCTATGCTCCACCCCCTCTGCATAATCAAGAAAAAGGTGGCTTCGCATACCCAATGGACCCGGTGAAGAAAAAGTCTGGATCCTTAAACCGTGATGAAACGGACAAGGCGAAAGCAAGGAACAGAGAAAATGGGAATAGCACGAGCAACTTATCAAGTGGTCACGATCATATTACCGATGGAGAATGTGAGTCTTGTTCGTTGGATGCTCAAGGGAATGAAAGAAGCAAAGGTGTTGGTTCTGTTATCGTAAGGGATCAGTATAACCTCCCTAGCTTTCAGACCAAATACGAGGAAGCAATGTTTTTTGTGATAAAATCTTATAGCGAAGACGACATACACAAGAGCATCAAGTACAATGTCTGGTCTAGTACTCTCAATGGGAACAAGAAGTTAGACAGTGCATATCAAGAATCTCAGAAGAAGATTGCAGAGAAAAATGTGAAGTGCCCGGTTTTCCTATTCTTCTCGGTATGCATTTTTGGCGATTAACCGGGGTATTCATTTTTGCAACATCTCCTTGGTCTCTGATCGGTTTTATTGGATTCAGGTGAATGCAAGTGGCCAATTCTGCGGTGTTGCTGAAATGGTTGGGCGAGTGGATTATGAGAAAAGCATGGAGTTTTGGCAACAAGATAAGTGGACTGGCTATTTTCCAGTCAAGTGGCACATGATCAAAGATGTTCCAAACCCGCAATTACGACATATAATACTTGAGAACAATGAGAACAAGCCTGTAACCAATAGCAGAGACACACAAGAGGTAAAATTATTTTGTAGAGGCTCAAGTCAAGTAAAGTGAATTATTGTCAACAAGTCATCTGATACTCAATTGTCATCATATAGGTGAGGTTGCCCCAAGGAAATGAAGTGTTGAACATCTTCAAGACCTATGCAGCAAAGACATCTATATTAGATGATTTCGATTTTTATGAAAACAGAGAGAAGGTTATGGTACAGAAGAAGCTAAGGTTCCCTCCCGTATTAAAGGTCCTAGCTTTCTCCTCTTTATAATCTCCCAATCATACTCTCCATTTCTATGTATTCTTACGAGAATTTATCTTATGTCTTTGATTACAGAAGAAAGAAGATTTGGTTGCTGATTTCAAAACAATGGAGATATCTAATCCAGCCGAAGAGGGTAACACAGATATAACTGAGACTGTGAACTAACTAGAAGAACCTGTAGGGTTTTTGGTTTGGTTTTTTTAAGAATCAATATAAACCGTCCGATTGTTTCGGAGTTCTTTGATTTTATAACAAGCAAGTGCGTGTTCGTGTTCTATTGTTTTGTTGTATCCTGTAATGTTTGTGTTTTTCTTCTCCTTTTTCGGTATTGTGGGTTTGCGTTTATGATATGTTTTGCAATCTGCAATCATTGACAATTTATAGAGTTTGATTTTATATAGTGAAATAAGAAAATCGAGGGACAATGAAAAGAGGTTTAGACATGAAATGCGTTCTCTATCGTTGTAAATTCTCTCTCCAAGGAGCCTGTTTTGAAGTCTAATTGATCAAACATACCCAACAAAAATCTCCCTTACCAAAAAAAAACATACCCAACAAAAATCATGGCGGGCTCGGGGATTGTCCACGCCCACCACGTGGTGCTCGACCACCACGAGGCAGCAATCGGCCGGCTCCTCGAAGGTTTACAGTTCGACCGCGACCTCTGATGGCTGGAATAGGAGCTCGAGAGGTTCCTGCAAGATTGACTATTCTAGCTTGTCTTTTTTTTGCATTCTCTATTGCTCTTTCAGATAGTTTCACAATTGTTGGTGAACTTCCACCACCTGGTGATGCGGCTCTTTTGGTTTCTTCTGTTTCTGGAGCACCGCTTGAAGTAATAGCAGAAGCTTGAGTAGAGGAAGTGGGTGGAGCTCCGCTTGAAGTAATTGCAGAAGCTTGAGTAGAGGAAGAGGGTGGAGTCATAGATACATGGGAGGTTGTAGCTGCTGTGGTGTCTGGCTTGAGAACAGTCTCTGGAACTTCTTGTTGATCATTAGCATTGTTAGGTTTATCAGAGGCTTCTTCAGCTGTATCACCTCCTTCCTCAGTCTTATCATCTTCAAGCGGTGTCTCAATGGATGTTTCAGCTTCTTCCATTGCTGTCTCCATCCTAGTCGGTGACTGTGTGGGTGTAGCTAGCGGCTCAGGCTGCAATTCGTCTTTCTCTGGACTCCTCATCATGTTTGCTATATCAGTAACCTCATCCAGATCTTCAAGTGTATCTAGATCGAGCTCTCCTTCCTCTTTATCGGATTCCATATCTGTAAGAAGCTCTTGGTTCTCTTGTTCGGTCTGATACCTAGACTCTTCTTCAGTGGGGGTGGTTTCTGTCTCAGTTGGATTTTCTTCCACAGGTTCATCAGCTTTATCCTGCATTTCAGCTTCGTTTTCTTGTTGTCCTTCCACAGAATCCTCCATTTTCTCCTCTGCATTCTCGGCTTCTGTTTCTTCATTGTCAGCATCAGCGGCAGTAGTAGCATCCAACAATTCTTCTATTGCTGGCTCTTTTGCAAGGTTTTCACCTTCGAAAGCATCAGCTTTTGACTCAGATCCTTTTGCCTTTTTCGTCGCAGGTGGCACAACCTCAGAACTAGTTTCTCCTTGAGTCAGACTCTCTAGTTGTGGCTCAGAAACCAACGAATCAGCCTGGCGTTTACGGACAGGTCGTACAGATGTGCTCACTTGGCTCTCTGTTTCATGGGCTGCTAATTGTTTTCCATCATCACCAGCTCCCTCAGCTTCTGGCATATCAATATCAATTTGGGAAGATTCCTCGGGTTTAACAAGTTGAGGACGAATAATCCGCTTACTACTACCTGGTCTACGGACCTCAGTGCTTGGTTTCTGCAACGCCGATCTCTTTTCTTTGTTGTCTGACGCTACTTTGGGTGGCTGCGGGGTAGTTGCCACTGGAGCTTTTAAAGGTGTTGAAGAAGGGGCTCTCGCCATGGCCGAAGAGTCAACTGCACCAAAGATTAATTTTGTCACTTTACACAGAGATGAAAAAATATTACAATTTGGAGTCTTTTGGGTGTGCTTTTAGATTACCAGCAGCAGGAGTGCCAGAGGAAGGTTCAGTCACCATATCAGTAGGCTTAGTGCTGACTTGAGAATTGATGGCAATAGAACGAGCCATGCGTTCAAAGTACTCTACAGCAGACACGTAAGCGGCAGCTTTGTCACTCAATATGCTTCCAGATAGAACCTGGACAACTGCAGTACCCTATATAAAAACAAAAGTGTTTAAAACAAACTGGGAAAATAATCAAAAATTAAACGCATATATATATAGACATTAAACCTGTTACCTCAGGAAGATTGCCATCCGCTTGCTTCAATTTTTCCAGTTCTTCGGATAGATGGGCCAATGCTGTCTGATACCTCTCGAGCTTAGAAAGCTCTTCGTCCACTTTTAGTTTCTCCTGAGAAAATAATATGATAGGGAACATTGGGTTAAGGTTTTTCAAAGTGAATATTCCAAAGATTCCTACAAGAATTGAGTTACAAGAGACACACAAGTGAGGCTGTCGAAAGAACCAAACCTTTTTAATTTTGGTCAAGGAATCTCCAACTTCTTTTTCAACAGACATGCGTTCTGTTCTCTCTTTAGTTAACTCCTCATCTTTTTTCTTCAAATCTTCGGTTTTTTTCTTCACCTCGTCTTTCAGTGTATGAACATACTTATCCATAAGCTGCAGAAATTTCACATGTGTTTAAGAATACACAGAAACACACAAAAAATAATAAGCAAAAATGAGGGAGCAAAACTAAGCAGAAATTTCACATATACCAAATTTTTAATACCTGAATTCTATGTTCTTTTTCCTCTCTCTCCTTAACAGCCTGCTCCACCATAGCATCAGTTGTTGTTCTCTTTCCAGCTTTCGGCAGCAATAGAAAACATGAGCAGATACCTATAAAAACTTGTGGGATCGGATTTAAAAAAGAAAGAATAAATAGTTACCCTCTTTGACTTCGTCCAACTGTTTAGAGAGTGACTGGTTTACTTTGTTTAAATCCTCCTTCTCTTTTTCGTATTTTCTCTAAATGACATAATAAAAACTGGCTATGATAACGAGAAAACATATAGAAGAAGTTAACAAAAAACAAAAAAAATAAAGATTTCGAACCTTGCTCGCGTTAAAAGAAAAATAAACTTTCTTGTACTTTTCCATCTCTTGTTTCTGCTTATTGAATTCTGAATGCATAGTAGCCTAACAAAAAGTAACAGAGACAGATGAATATATCTACATGGGATAGTGCTACTTCTGCATGTAAAATTAAAATGCACACAGCGAGATAGTTCTAAATTCTACCTGTGCTTGTTGAGCATCATCTAACCTCTTCTCCCTCTCACTCAGATCTTTTTTGCAGTTTGTCAGCTCCTTCTCCAATAGAGATATCTTGTTCTGCTTCTCTAACAGAAGTTTCTTGAAATCTTCAACATGAACATCTTTTGCTTTCATTTTCTCCTAAAAGCCATATTATGGCATGAAAACGGATATGAGAACTTAATGGAAAAGCACAGTGGGACGGCTAAGAAGTCAAATTCAACAAATTATATAAACATTTGCATAACTCAAACACTATTAACAAATACTATTATCAGAAATTTTCATAAGCCAAAATGACAATTGTCGTACACTAGAATTCTATGTGTTTGACGATTTAATAATGTGACTATGTAAATCAACGTCAAAGGTCTGGATTTGTATGGTTGGTTTTAACTTAGATGTAGTCCCAAAACTAGAAGACATGCTCTCTCAAAAGGCATTCCACACAAGTTTCATTGACCATACCTATATCAAATAGATAAATAATGTTCTTTAACCAGTTGGATCTATGGGCAAGAACTAACGACCTTCAGCAGACGGTTGTAACAAAATCATGCATTAACAATGTAACTAAATTCAAGAAACAAATATATTGAGCTTTGGGATATCATATCCGTGCACTACCTTGGAAAAAATCTCATTATAGCAGAAATTTCAACACGACATATTATCTTTATAGGCATACCTCTAGTTGCCGCACTTCATCTTTGAGGCGATTGTAATCAGCAACATCAATGTTTCTATATGTCTCCCGCAACTTCACAAAGAAAGAATTGTAATTTAAACCAGTAACAAAAAGTAATTGTAAATATGAGCCCATAATATATGACAAAGAAGTTTATAATGACTCGCCTCATCAACCCTCTTCTTTTGAAGATCTGTCTCCATCCTTAGCCTTTCCATCTCTTTCATACACAAGTCCAACTCTGTTTGCTTTTTCTTTAGGAGATTTTCAAAATTTTCTGATTCCATCCTAGCCTTTTGAGCTACCTCACGCAATCTCTGATGTTTAAAAAAATTATTAGCTTTTTCTAACACAACTAACAGAACTCGGTGATGGAACGTAGTTCATGCATTCAAGTGACATAAAGGAAAAGAAATCTACGTGAAGGTTTCATAACGAACCTGACATTCATCAAAATTGTGTTTATTTTCCTCCCTGAGTTGCATGTTGCTTTCACGGAGCAAGTTCATCTCACTAACCTGCAAGGAGAGCTTTGAAGTCAGAAAATGAAAATAGTTCCCACCAACCAATACTTCAGGAATCCAAAAGACTAATTCCAAGATGAAAATACTGACTTTGGCAAGAAAAAATAAGAACTCAACTAAGAGGAACTGAAGCAGAAAAGATCATTAGTTCATATGTATCAGATATCGAATCACACCAACATTACCTGAAGCTGAAGAGATTTGATTCCATCCTCAGTCAACAATGAGGCTCTTATACTGGCGCGCTCAGCATTAAGTGATCCCCGGGCAGATTCTGCCATCTTCAAGGCACTCTCAAGCTAGAAAAAGACAAGTTGCAGCAACAAAAACAAAAAAATCATACCGCAGCCAAAACTTTGTAAAAATAGAGGAGGCTTTCGCTTAGCATGTGCACGTGTATTGAGAAGGGTTTTTGCTGACCAAGGATATGGTAGCCAAATAAAGCATAAGATTAGAGACAACAACTTACTTGCGACTGCAACCGAAGTTTCTCCTGTCTCATTAGCGAGATCTCTGTTTCAGCCTGTCAAAAAATAACCACATGACTTAGATAACCCTACCGTATAAAGAAGGGGAAGAAAGAAAGAATAAGCAATCCTACAAAGAATTCTCTTACTATTTCTTTTGTTCTGCGTAGGTAGTTAACTACACTTTGAAAACCCGAATCTTCAAGTTGATCTGTGTCAGTGCTTCCAGATGATGTTTTTCCAGATCGGCTGTCCTTCTCAGCCGAGTTAAGGTGCTTAGCCTCAAGTCTGCTATGAAGTATTTTGTTCTGATGTAGAGAGTAACTGATAAGTGAGTACTTGTAGTAGGACCACATGCAGGAGTAAGC